GCTGGAGTCCTCAGCTGGCTAGTTGGGGCACTCCTCTGGGTCTGGGGAACAGCAGAACTGGAATTTGATCTTCTGCTTTCAGGAGATGCTCTCAGCAGCAGATGGCCGCTTCTCCCACTCATTTTTCTGGGTTACCTATCAAAGCATGGGAAGGTTTTCCATACTTCCAAGCCCAGTTTCACAAAGGTGCCCTTATTATTTCAGAGAGGGTCAGATCTGTTCCTCTCTTTAGTGGTGGTGTTCCCTAGCCTATGTATGTTGTTTGTTGTGGAGTCCCTCTGATGTCTTACTTTCCATCTGCATCATCTAGACTCCAGACCAGGCAGAGGGCAACGAGCCAGAGCTGCTGTAGCTGCACTGCACTGCAGACCTAACAGGAGGTGAGACCAGCTGGGTTTCTCCCACTGAAAATCCCAGCAGGCACAACCCTGTTTTGCCAGGAAAATATTAATAGGGTTTGAGGATTTTCAGGGCCTCAGCAGTCCCTTAAGGCTCGTTCCTCCCTTGGGCTTTGTTCATCAAATTATGCTCTGCTCGTTTGTGATGTGCTCTGAGTTAGGCAGACTGAGAGTTTGCTCACTTCTCAAGTGCTAGCTGTCAAGTTTGTAAACTAGACCATAACAGAGTAGTTCTTCAGTACCTTGTTTAACCAGGTAGCCCTCCTGCTGAGGACAAAGCCTGTGGAACTAAGGTGTCAGTAGCCCAAATGTCTCTTTTTTTAAAAAGGAATTCAGTTACCAAATCCTGGAGGAAGCTCTCTTTAATACATAAGGAATGTCCTGGTGTCATACCTGTGAATGGTATGTCAGAGGATTGTTGATAATGGGGGCTGAGTTCATGGTGACTCTGGGAACCTATGACCTCCCATTCCACAAGGCCACAGCATTTGTCAGGGCTGGAGTTGGAGGGTGCCTCTTCCCTGACAGCTGGAACTGTGGAGCTGTGGGTGGCCCTGGCAGTGTGGGCCTGTCTAAGCTCAGCCTTTTGCCTCTTGCAGGTGTCCCTGCTGCAGACACAGCTCGCACAAGAACGAAAGCACAAGCGGGACTATATTGAGTGCTGTGCAAAGACCAGCCAGGAGCTGGCAGACCTTCACCAGGAGCTGTCCTATTCCTTGGCAGCTGTGGTCAGGGAGCCCAAAGCTGCTGTTCTGGAGGCAGAGACTCGGAAGCTGGATCGGTCTCTGAACCTTAATTTGGCACTAATGTCTCTGGACCACCAGTCTCCTGAGAGACAGCCATTGCATTCAACAGCCAGATCCATCAGAAGCAATGACCTGAGCTAACAGGACCAGTGTACAGCAAAAGGCCCCAGTGGGAGCCAAATCTGAGACCTGCTGTAGCAGGTGAAATGTGGCAAGGGACTTGGTTCAAGGCATGAGTTCTGAAGTAAAACAGAAGTTCAGGGTGCAGTGTTGACTGCAGGTTCCTGTAAGAAGCTTGGAGAAGCTCTCCCCCAGCTCCAAGTCAGACCTGCCTCTGGCCAAGGCCAAGCCAATCAGTGCCTCTGCAATAACATGTTTAAGAGGGGAAAACCTGCTGGGCTGGTTACTTTGTGTAGGGTGCTCTTTTGTTTTGGAAAGAAGTGGGACATGGGAGAGACATGTCCCCAGGTCAGTGAGGAAGGAGGGGAGGAGCCATGCTAGAGCAGTCATTGCCCCCTTGGCCTGTGGTGAGACGGCAGGCCTTGTAGCCTTTGAGGTCAGTGGTGGGGCAGAATCCTGTCTGCAGCCCAAGGAGGACCTCACACTGGAGCAGGGGACTGCTCCTAACGAAGAGACAGAGAGGCCTATGCCAGAGTGGCCCATCACTGGGAGGGCCTCAGCGTGCTGAAGGGATCTACACTGGTTGGAGAAGTTCATGGAGGACCATGTCCCATGGGAGGGACACAACGTTACAGCAGAGGTGGACTGTAGGGAGTTTTTCCCCCGAGGAGGAAGGAGTGGCAGAAACAACATGGAACAGACTGAGACTGACCACAACCCCCACTCCCTGCCCACCTTCTGCCCCTGCAGGGGAGGAGGTAGCAGAGCTGGCCCACGAGGAAGGGAAAGGTGGGAGGAAGCTGTATTTCAGATCCAGTTCTATTTACTGCTGGCCTACTCTGGTTCAATTGGTGAATTACTGGTGGGTTTGTTTAAATTAAATTGACTTTGTTTCCCCAAGTCAAGCCTATCTTTTGCCCATGGCTGTACTTTGTGAGTGAGCCCTCCTGGCCCTTTGGCTGGGCCCTTCTGTTGTTTTTTCTCCTGCCCCGACATCGGAGCTGGGTGGGAGTGAGTGAGCGGCTCTGGGGCTGCTCTGTGCTGGCTGAGCAGACCCAAAACACAACTACTTTTGTTTTTTCAGTAGACTTCTGCAAAACACTGCACAGGTTCTGAGCAGAAATCCCCTTGCAGTGATGTCCTGCTCCTCCTCTGCTTTCTTCAGCAGCTGCTCCAGGTGGGCTTTCTCTGCACAGAGGTCTTCATTTGCTTTTTCACAGAAGTTCAGCTTCTCCAGGTCAGAGATCCTGGCTCTCTCCATCTCGGCCACTTTACCTGACAGAACACCATTCTCTTGCTCCAGCTACAAGCACAAAAGCACAAAGAAAAGAATATACAACAGGATTTACTCTGCAGAAGCTTTGGCTCAGACAGAAAAAGGTACAACATCTCTACATTCAAGTCAGTATGACTGACCTTGACTTGACCTATGACTGACAGTCATACTTGCCTACAGTCATAGTGTCTGAAGGCAAAAAGCCTGAAAAGAAGCATCAGCTGCAAGGTCTTTGTCAGCTCTGGTCACACAAGTTTGCAACCTACAACCCAGGTTTGTTCAGCTGCACTTTATCAGTGCAAGAGCTGCACTGATACTACTCATCTTCACTGCTGCACCACATAGATCAGCTATTTCAGCACTCAGCTTAGTCTGAGCCCCTGTTGACTCTGCCTGAAGAGCCACAGAGAGGTCAATTTCTGTGACCTGAGGTGAGGAATGAATAGCAAAGTATGCTAAAGCAGCCAGTAATGATGGAAGTCTGTGCTGCAGAAATATCTCTAGAGCTCAGCCTCCAAACAGCATCTCCTTACTCATGAACCAGCCAGGGGAGAATGCACAGCAGAAGTCTTACCTTTTCTAGATACAATGAGGGTTAAATTTTTATCAGTTCTCAAGTCTTTCAGTCAGGTATACTAGAAACATTAAGTTGGAGGGAGGGATAAAAATGGCATTAACCCTGTAGAGCCTGAGGTTTCTTTTCAGTTATCTAAATACAGAAAAACACCCTCTCTCAACCTCCAAATTGTTTCCTTCTGGACCACAGAATTATGAGAAAACAACAGGAATGCACAGGTCTATTTAAAAACTCTGAACAACTTTTCATCTGAGTTTGGTACATATGTGCACATACAGAACCAGCATCAAGAGAACGTGAGACCAAAGATTGCAGGGATGTGTCTATGCTTGTGTGTAAACAAGCAAAGCAAAACAATCTCACTGGGATGTCACATTTGTGCAGGCAGAACCAGAACAATTGTAAAAGTAGCAAAACAACTTTTTTCTTAGAATTGGACAAGTTAGTGGACAAAATAGAACTGTGTTAAAACCGTTTCTTGTTCCTTCAGAAACGTAAAGACAAGGAGAAGAACTTGTAAATGTCCAGCAGTTACTTTGCCCATTAGAGGTTCCTTTTGGGCATAAAGATTACCATGGTATGGGGATATTTAAGAAATAATTCTGGAGTCACATAAGATTTGGGTAATGCAATTTTTTCTGAGTTGTCAGGGGCTTGATTTTTATTTTTTTTTTTAATTTTTTTTTTAGTAGAAAACCATCAGGACATTTAGAATGCCAAACATAAGTGAAATGTGGTTTGAGTCTACTTCAGCAGATGTTCCCCTATGATGAGATAATGCACTTGCAGCTCTTAAGAGCATGAGCTATTTCTTCCAAAACTTTGATTCCTGTCAGTATGTCTTCCTGAGAGCACATCTATATACCATAGTGTCACTAAATCACTCAGAACATCCAAATGTACTTAACTAATGAAACCTGATATTCAGTAACACTTAAGGACCTTTATGAGGCCTACCCACTCACACAGTAATTAAAAATTAAAAAATCAGAGCTATTGCTCCTAATCCAATTTCAGTGGCTGCTCATTACTGCTCTGATTAGAAAAGTAACTGACTTTAGCTTGGGTTAGCAAACTTGTGTGTAATGGGTCATCTTTTTTTCCTGGTCTAACTAATCTTCTTCTATTTATCTCTGTTTTAATGGAAGGGCTGCTGCCAAGCCAAAGCCAGAGAATCAAGGCTTATATGAAAAATGGGATGAGCTCTGGGCAAGGCTGCTCCCTGCCTTTTCCCTGTATTCCTCCTCACATGCAGCTGGTGGTGCTGTCAACCCTCCCTCAAGATGAGTATTAGAATCTATAAAGCATTATTTCAGGCAGCTGATTTCTGGGGGCAAAATATAAATATATGAGTAAAAAAACCTGGGCAAGGAGAGAGAACTGTATGGAAAAGGAAGCCCAAACAAGAAATGAGTAACCCCTGAAAATTAAGACTTCTTCTGGACTATCTCTATCCCAGGGCAGCTACTTAAGCTTGATGTCCTTTAATTTTGTTGGAGCTACCCAGAATTACAGCTAACATAACTAAACTGATATAAAATTACGTGGTGCTGGTTCCAGTTTGCATGTGTGTCAGCCCTGTGCCTCCCCTTACTACTTACTCTACTTTCTGAGAAAAGCAACTTTCTCCTACCCAGGAGAGAAGTGCCAGTGTGGCAGATGTGAACACCAAGCACGCCCCAAGGGTGCAGAAGCTCGAGTCAGGATTGTATTTATGGTCAGGTTTACAGTGTGCTTCTCAACAGGACCCTCAACAAAAAAAACCCCACAACCCTCCAACAAAGTGGGAAATCAAGTTACAGCTAATTAGGAAAGCAAGATAAAACAAAAGGAAGAAAATCATTATGGCACTGTGTAGGTCACACTTAGGCTGGATCTTAATCCTGGGGCAGTCTTGTACCTCCACAGAGAGCTGGACTGAGAGAGGTTTGGAGAATCCAGCAAGAGGCTGAAGGACCTCCAGAAGGGACTCAGCTGGGACTCCTCAGTGGGGGGACACGGCCTGTAGGAAAGGTCTGTGACCCCCTGAGGGACAGGGCGAGAGCAGGCAGTGCCTGTTCACACTTCTCCAACAGAGGAGCAAGGGCCAGTGGGCACAGCAAGTGGGGGCAAAGGAAGGAGGGGAGGTGTTTTTCTGACAGCAGAGCAGACCTGCCCATCGCAGAAGGGTGTTGTAAAAGCATCTCAAAGGAAGCCACTGAGGGATCTCAGGGGACTCTAAGAGACTGAGGAGATCCCAACAGCTGAAAATAGTTGCACATGGAGGAAAGTATTAGGAGCCTTTACTCCTCCTTATTTAATGTGGCAGTATTCCAAATCAGTGGGACGTTTGTCTGCCCATCATCCCTCCTCCTCCTCTTCACTCTCCTGAAAACACTAATAATAGTCATTACTGTACCTCCAAAAGGTTTGCAGTGACTACACAGTCATTACATTCTGCAAGATTTCTGGGGCACATGCAGTTTGGGAACTACCCTGACCTCTCCCCCTCCTCTGTGTGCACAGAGTTCTCCCTCTCAGCACGGCCCTTGCCTACATGTTTGTTCCAGGGACCAGATGCAATGGGGAGTTTGGACATCTGGGCTGTAGCAAGGTTGCTGTTGTTGTGCTGGTTTGAGCACATAAGGCAAGATCTAATGGAAGAAGTGAAGTTTTTCATTAGAACAACTAATACTGGGGGGAAAACAGTATTAGAAAAAAGTGCTTGTTAATTTAGTCTTTAGAAACTGTGCTCAAAAGCTTGCTAACTTTTCTCCAAGTACCCAGCTACTCTCACCAATCACATTCGTATTCTCCTCTGATCTTTGCCTCAGTGGCACGTGTTAAACTGTGATAGGAAGCGGGAAAAAACTGGACTGAAACTGAAGTTCTTGGTGAAATCTTGACTACAAACTTCACACTTCAAAAATTTAATGCAAAAAATGGCAAACATTCCATTGAAACATATCTTTTTAATCAGATTTCTGTTAAAAGAAACTAGTACTCTGGCCACTGTGTGTTTTGTGTATGTATTTCAGGAGGTGCCCTACAACTTACATGTTACTCTGCTAAAGTTCTGAACTGGTTTAAAATTCTGAAATACTCCCAAAATATCCCTTCCAGAGATACTGATATTCAAGCCCTGGACTGAACACCTTTACTTGAGGCTGTTTTACAGCAAAGCAGCAAAGTTTCATGGAACAAGTGAGACTATTTCTGTGCAGTTTCATTCTCCTCCAAGTTCTTCCATGCTCCTGCGGCAGCACCTCCAGAAGCCACTTTTCTGTTTGTTCATGATGGTTCAAATTTTAAAAAACAAAAAAAAAAAAAAAGAAAAAAAAAAAAAGGACAGATACACTTGGAAGCTAAAGGCCACAATAAACAGGTGAAGAAAATACTTTACCATGTACATGAGGCTGTTGGAAATGTTCTCCTGGTGCGAAGTGATGTTTTCCAGCTACCTGCAGGAGATAGTGATCTTCCATTAAAAAGTCTGTATCTATATAAATGAAGCAGTTGTACTGGTGCATAATTACTTACTGATATTTAAAATAGCTTTTACAAAAATTATTTCATTGGATATAAAAATGGGAAGGAGGAATTAACTGCAGTGGGAGGGAACGTGACGCTGCAGGAAAAGTGAAACAACAGCATAGAAAAAGAGTGGAGGAAATAACTGAGATGGAGAGTAAGATGGCTTAAAAAAAATTTAGTACAATGAGCAATGGGGATCCAATGTATATACCTGTGCAAATAAGCTGCAGACAAAAACAAAGTACTAAAACAAGCAAACAAGCATAAAAAGGTTGTTAAAACGTCATCCTGTAATTCGGAAGGGATGTGGATATTGGGTGCCAGGCCTTGCCGACATGGGCAGTCAAACACCCCTGGAATCACCCTGCCCAGGGAGCCCTGACTGCCCCAAGCTCCCATGTGACGTCATGCCTCTGATGTCTGCAAAGCTCTCACTTTGTTAACTGCAGAGCTGGTGAGAATAGCTGTGCAAAATTCCAAGCACAGAACAACAGCCCACAGAAATTTCCCCAGTGCCACCGGCTCTCCAGCGGGAGCTGCAGCGCCCAAATCAGTCCGACACGGCTGGGGAGTGGAGGGAAGCTGCTAGCTCCGTGGCACCCAGAGAAGACAGGAGGACTTGCCCCTTGCCCAAGGACAGCTTGGCACCTCTGGGGAGCGCAATCCCACCTGGCAAGCAGAGGGAACTGCCAGAGGAAAAGACATGGCTCTAGGCAACGTTTCAGCTGAGGTCCTTCCAAGTGCAGCACTGGCTGCAAGCCCCTCACCCTGGCAGGACACAGCTCCTTGTCTTCCTGTAGCAGCAGCAGAGAGGTGCAGGATCTCCAGAGCTGGAGGATGGAGGCAGAGGGTTTCTCCTCCCCTGGAGAGTTTGTGCCCCAGCACAGCACACACTGTGGCTTTTCCCTATCCACACCACAGGTTTTCCTCTGTAGCAAGTGTGGTAATTCTTTCCGCCACCACTTCTGGGTCATGCCAATTATTACGAGCCCAGGTTGTTCCCCATGGGTGAGGACATGCTTCGTAGTCTTCTGACTTTCCATTCACAGGGTTGCAGTCAGGCACTGGCATTTCCTGGGCAGCCATAGCTGGCTACCGCTGAACCCCCCATGGCTTTATTGCTGGGGGGTTTAATTCCCAACCCTCCCCCCCAGTTATCAGCTGGGTAGAGGCCGGAATCCCTTCCAGGAACAGGGGAGGGCCAAGCCCAGCACCTGCTATACACAAAGGGATTTACTGTGTCCCTGGGCTGAGCCCTTGTCAGCACAGTAACAACGACCAGTATGGTGGCAGAGCAGTGTGCTGACAGAGGGGCGTAACTGTGAGCGGCTGCTGGGGCAGCTGAACGACGTTAATGGAGGAGACTCGGGTAACGAGGCCATTGGCCAGAAAACCAACACCCAGCACCTGCTCCTGTGCCTTACCTTGCTCATGGGGAACCATGGAAAGGTGGAGAGGGAAA